CAGTCCATTAATCAGTTGGTGTGTGCGTTGCGGGGTTGAAGCTACGAACCAATAGGCTTGGCTCTCTCATCCCTTCCAGGCTTTTGGGAGGGAGGGTGGACAATGAGCCTGTCATAGCGGATGTCCCAACGCGCTCTGGCAGCTTTCATGGCTGGGATAAGTTATTTCCTCTTATGGCACACAGCTTCAGGATAGTCCTTGTTGAGGAAGATGTATGTTCCTCTGAAGTTCTTGGCTCTTTCCAGAACAGCTACAGTGGGGAAAAAAAGTATTTAGTCAGCCACCAATTGTGCAAGTTCTCCCACTTAAAAAGATGAGAGAGGCCTGTAATTTTCATCATAGGTACACGTCAACTATGACAGACAAAATGAGATTTTTTTTTCCAGAAAATCACATTGTAGGATTTTTAATGAATTTATTTGCAAATTATGGTGGAAAATAAGTATTTGGTCAATAACAAAAGTTTCTCAATACTTTGTTATATACCCTTTGTTGGCAATGACACAGGTCAAACGTTTTCTGTAAGTCTTCACAAGGTTTTCACACACTGTTGCTGGTATTTTGGCCCATTCCTCCATGCAGATCTCCTCTAGAGCAGTGATGTTTTGGGGCTGTCGCTGGGCAACACAGACTTTCAACTCCCTAACAAGTTCTATTTTGGTTTCATCTGACCATATGACATTCTCCCAATCCTCTTCTGGATCATCCAAATGCACTCTAGCAAACTTCAGACGGGCCTGGACATGTACTGGCTTAAGCAGGGGGACATGTCTGGCACTGCAGGATTTGAGTCCCTGGCGGCGTAGTGTGTTACTGATGGTAGGCTTTGTTACTTTGGTCCCAGCTCTCTGCAGGTCATTCACTAGGTCCCCCCGTGTGGTTCTGGGATTTTTGCTCACCGTTCTTGTGATCATTTTGACCCCACGGGGTGAGATCTTGCGCGGAGCCCCAGATCGAGGGAGATTATCAGTGGTCTTGTATGTCTTCCATTTCCTAATAATTGCTCCCACAGTTGATTTCTTCAAACCAAGCTGCTTACCTATTGCAGATTCAGTCTTCCCAGCCTGGTGCAGGTCTACAATTTTGTTTCTGGTGTCCTTTGACAGCTCTTTGGTCTTGGCCATAGTGGAGTTTGGATTGTGACTGTTTGAGGTTGTGGACAGGTGTCTTTTATACTGATAACAAGTTCAAACAGGTGCCATTAATACAGGTAACGAGTGGAGGACAGAGGAGCCTCTTAAAGAAGAAGTTACAGGTCTGTGAGAGCCAGAAATCTTGCTTGTTTGTAGGTGACCAAATACTTATTTTCCACCATAATTTGCAAATAAATTCATTAAAAATCCTACAATGTGATTTTCTGGAATTTCTTTTCTCAATTTGTCTGTCATAGTTGACGTGTACCTATGATGAAAATTACAGGCCTCTCTCATCTTTTTAAGTGGGAGAACTTGCACAATTGGTGGCTGACTAAATACTTTTTTTCCCCACTGTACCTTGTCGTTGAACCTCAGGAACTTGACCACTATCGGCCTGGGCCTGTCACCTGGGCCGGAGGTGGTTTTTCCAGTCCTGTCGGCGCGCTCCACCTCAATCTTCCTGTGGTCCATTTTCAGTTTCTCCAAGATCATTTCCCTCACTTTGTCCTCAGACTCCGTCCAGGTCTCATGTGGAGATTCTGCAACTCCGTCCACAACCATGTTTTTCTGCCTTGATTGTACCTCGAGATAATCTGATTTCTCCATCATTGTCCTCTCTCAATGACTAATAGTTTGCTGTCATCTTGCCGTTCTCCTGTTTAAACTCATTGAGCTGACCCTGGGAGAACTGCAAACGGTTCTTGAGGTCCTGGACCTCTCTGGTCAGGTCGTCCATTCTTTTATTAGTTGACTCCACCAGTATTTGGACACAACACTTAAAGTTATTGTCTTGTTGTAACAACTGCTTGTACAACTCTTTGTTTTGTTTAAAAGATCCTTCACCTGTGATAGAGAGACACCACTGTCCTCAACGGTACTCCCGCTGGCTTTGTCTTTGTCATGGTAGCAACGTACGTTACGCTGTTACTCCTCGCAGTTCCAGACAGAGCAGGTTGCAGGGAAGATTGGAAACAACAGACAGCCCCACAAAAAACATTGACACTACCACCAGAGTGTGAGTTAGTTCATGGTCAAAATGAGCAGCATTTGCTTAATTTGTTTATAAAAAAATAAAAAGAGCCTATTAAAACCAGTTAAATGTAATTGAAAATGTAATCTACGTAATCCCCAAAAGTTATTTATCATGAGAGGCCCATAAACAATAACTAGTAATGCTGCATACTCGCAAGAAAGGTTAAAATGTAATCTTTCTGGTAAAAATAGTTATAAATTGCTGAGGTGTAGTCACTTTAGACTAAACAAGCTCAAGTACATAGTACAAATATGATACAAATATGAAATATTTTATGTATTTCCTGTTTAACAAAACTATGAATAAGGCTTGAAATGACATGCTTTCTAAATATAGTACAATCAATTTATAAAATGACCAACTATAAGATTTCACCTTCCTTAACTGTAAAACACATCTTTGTATGTTTATAGTGTTAGAGAAAATTTGCATATTTTCTAAAGGTCTCTTGATCAAAACGTCTGCCCCCATGGCTGTGGAAGTCTCAGAGCTCTATCTTGGCTTCCTGAATTTGTTAGGAACTCGCCTTTCATCTCATTTTAATATAGTCTGTCTATGACAAAGTGTTTTTTTCTTTAAAATCTATTATTTAAGATTAATGGCTATAAATATATCGCTGAATGTGCTACAGTGATGAAACCACGCTCTCTGCTTCGCAACGATTTAAGGATTGCAGGCATGTGCTTTGTCAGTGGCTGTGATGTAGGGTTCAGCCAGGAGTTGGACAGTCGGAAAAGAGCAAATGAAATGGTAGGAGGAACATCCCAGCTTCAAGTGGTTTCAGAGTTCACATCCTGTGTCACACTGGTTCAGAAAATATACTACTGTGTCTATAGGAACCAGGACTATCGCTCAATGCAAGCCATTTCGATATACAGTGTCCACAGATCGATTTAAGTGAAAATGTCAGTCGGAACCGGTACCAGAACCACTTGACTTTATTAAAGAAAATGGTACGAATAAAAAATATTAAGGAAAAAAATGCTGCTTTACCAAAATGGGTAGAGCGCAAGAATGGATGTTTGGAATACGTGTACATCAAATCAAACTTTATTTGTCACATACACGTGTTTAGCAGATGTTATAGCTGGTGTAGCGAAATGCTTGTGCTTCTAGCTCCGACGGTGCAGTAATATCGAACAATTTCACAACATATGCCCAATACACACAAAAAAGTAAGGAATGGGATTTAAGAATATATACATATATGGACAAGCAATGACAGAGCGGCATGGACTAAGATACAGAATAATATTATAGAATAGAATGCAGTATATACATATGAGATGAGTAGTGCAAGATATGTAAACATTATTAAAGTGACTAGTGTTCAATTTCTTAAAGTGGCCAGTGATTTCAAAAGGCAGCAGCAGCCTCTAATGTGCTAGTGATGGCTATTTAACAGTCTGATGGCCTTGAGATAGAAGCAGTTTTTCATTCTCTCTGTCCCAGCTTTGATGCACCTGTACTGACCTCGCCTTCTGGATGATAGCGGGGTGAACAGGCAGTGGCTCGGGTTGTTGATGTCCTTGATCTTTTTGGCCTTCCTGTATGTGTCTTGGAGGGCGGGTAGTTTGCCCCCGGTAATGCGTTCGGCAGACCGCACCACCCTCTGGAGAGCCCTGCGGTTGTGGGCGGTGCAGTACCAGGCGGTGATACAGCCCGACAGGATGCTCTCAATTGTGCATCTGTAAAGGTTTGTGAGGGTTTTAGGTGATAAGCCACATTTTTTCAGCCTCCTGATTTCACCACACTGTCTGCGTGGGTGGACCATTTCAGTTTGTCGGTGATGTGTACGCCAAGGAACTTGAAGCTTTCCACCTCCACTGCGGTCCCGTCGATGTGGATAGGGGGGTACACCCTCTGCTGTTTCCTGAAGTCCACGATCATCTCCTTTGTTTTGTTGATGTTGAGTGAGAGGTTATTTTCCTGGCACCACACTCCCGGAGCCCTCACCTCCTCCCTGTAGGCGGTCTCATCATTGTTGGTAATCAAGCCTACTACTGTTGTGTCATCTGCAAACTTGATGATTGAGTTGGAGGCGTGTTTGGCCACGCAGTCATGGGTGAACAGGGAGTACAGGAGGGGGCTGAGCACGCACCCTTGTGGGGCCCAAGTGTTGAGGATCAGCGAAGTGGAGATTTTGTTTCCTACCTTCACCACCTTGACTCCCGAGTGGCGCAGTGGTCTAGCTGTGCCACTAGAGATCCTGGTTAGAGTCCAGGCCCTGTCGCAGCCGGCAGCGAACGGGAGACCCATGGGCGGCGCCCAATTGGTCCAGCGTCATCCAAGGTAGGGGAGGGTTTGGCCGGCAGGGATGTGGGTTTGTTTCCCACGGGGGGCCAGTATGAAAAAACAAACAAAAAACTAAAACAAACAAAAAAACATGTATGCATTCACTAACTAAGTCGCTCTGGATAAGAGCGTCTGCTAAATGACTAAAATGTAAATGTAAAATGGGGCTGCCCGTCAGGAAGTCCAGGACCCAGTTGCACAGGGCAGGGTTCAGATCCACGGCCTCGAGCTTTGGAGACATTTGTCAGTTTTCCTTTCATATAGCAACTGTTTCCCAATCGGAGTGTCGTGTTTTTAGCATTATTTATTTTTATGGTAATCAGTCACCAGCCCTGAGATACGTGTTGGGAATGTTGGATGATCTGTGATAAAAGAAAAACAGCACATTTCTATTGTCCCCAGCACAAGGTGCACCTGCGATATGATCATGCGGTTTAATCAGCTTCTTGATATGCCACACCTGTCAGGTGGCTGGATTATCTTGGCAAAGAAGAATTGCTCACTAACAGAGATGTAAACAAATGTGAACAGAATTTGAGAGAAATAAGCTTTTCGTGCGTATGGAACATTTCTGGGATAATTTATTTCAGCTCATGAAAAATGGGACCAACATTATACACTTTGTGTTTATATTTTTGTTCCGTGTAAATTAATATCTAATCTCATAGCAGTTGAAATAAATTATAATACAAAACTCTGAAGTCCTATCACTAACTCGTGGCGCTTTTAAGGTAGAGAGTAATGTATACATGGCTGATATTGGTAACTAAATGTTGCCATCTAGTCTAGTGGTTCTGATTTAGCTGATTAACTACTGTACTGTTTGTGAAAGGTACTAAAATCACAGTACAACCTGTTTGATAATATAAATTATCACGATGACTCCATGTGCACCCCAACAAAACACCAACAGGACATGGCTTTTAGAACACCACCTCCTCCTTTATTGTTTTCAAACTACATAGAAAAAAGCAATATCGATCGTTTGTTGGAGGATCAACAGAGCCAAGGAATAGAGAGCCAGGTAGAGCAGATGTTGCGGCTGTAAGTCAGATCCGACTCATGTGGCCCTGGTGGTTGTGGTGGCGGCGGCTGTGGCAGTGCTGCTGGCTCCACTCATAGCCATCTTCTTCAGCGTTCTGTTCAACTGCATGGCGAATAACACACAAGTAGAAACTGACTACATTTTATTTATTTATTACAGGAATAAACCAAATCCAATAGCAGATAGGAGCCTTTAATTTTTCTATTCTAGGACTTAAAATATACATAATCATTAAATACAGAAGCAAATGTCTGCAATGTAACAGAAATATTATGATAAAGGTAAACAAAAACTGTTGCTACCTGGAAATACTGCCGTAAAATAATTTGAAAATGTATAATTTTTCACCTCCTCAAACTTGTGGATCTGTCTGATGAAGAAATCGCCATAGCGGCGGGCCACCTTGGTGTCTGCGATGTGGATCATGTCCTGCAGGCACATAACAGACAGGGAATACAGGTTATTTAACTACATTACTTATAAAGAGTTAATTCCATATTGTTAACAGCATCTAAAATGAGGTGAGTAGGCTCTGTGTAACGACATGTCTCACACACACACCTTGTCGATGTAGAAGTCGACCTCGGAGGCGGACTGGAACTCTCCGTCCAAGGCAGAGATGCCGCTGGTCCACACCAGGTTCTTCATCTTGTGTTTGAAGACCAGCAGCTGGATGCGGAACTCCTGCTCCGTCATGTCCAGGAAGCCTGCCAGCTTGGCCACAGGCATGGTGGTGTAGAGCTTCAGGAAACTGGACAGCAGAGAGATGGAGCAGGGTGAGATTTGAGGGGGAAACCAAGGAACCATGTTCGAGAGCAATGGATAAATATTTTGAAACTGAGTTAAACAGGGAGGTGCTGAACTTGACCGACTGTAGCAGCTCACCTGACTCTCACAGAGATAACTCGTTACCTGCGGATGGTAGAGAGCTGGGCCTGTTGCTGCACCTCTTCGGTGAACACCTTGAGCTGCTGCTGGAAGGGCTCCTTGTGGTAGTTGGGGTGCACATTATCGTAGTTGGGCACCACCGGGGACAGGAACTTGGGACAGGCAAAGCTGAAAAGCTCCTCAAACACCTGCAGGTCTCTGAGGTCACACAGTCATGTCAGTCAAGTTTCAAACACCTATGGCCCAATTCCAAATCAAACTCTAGACCCTTACGCCCTATGCACCTTTGTGAGATCTAAGTGGATTTGACAGGTGCAAGTAAGCAATATGGTAATAGCTCCACCTTGCCCTCTGATAAGCCAGGAGGAAGTTTCACTATATTGCTTAGACCAATCAAATCCTGTCTGTCAGATCTCCACATTGGGCCTAGAGGTTGGGCCTATAACTCCCTCTATCCCCTGGTTCCCACAGTGTGGTATTAAGTGTAGACCTCTCTCGCTCACCCCTTCTGCATGCGAAGCATCTTGTCTCCGTACTTCTCCCTAAGCTGGGTGTGGATGCTTTCGTCGATGCGCATGGGGTACATGGTCAGGGCTATGGCCAGCAGCCCGTGCATCTGCTCGTTCTGCTTGCTGATCTGGAGGAGCAGGAATAAGTAGTGACTCAACTGATCACCAGGGTCATGTTCATTTTTAAATGTTTTCCATTATGTGCCCTACTAAACATGACCCAGCTCTGAGGGAGATGTCAATCATAACAATCAGTAATATAGCTATCGTAGTCATCACAGGTTAGGCCCACTGACCAATATTCCCTACATTTTTTTCTATCACTGAGAAAGTGTAATGTCTTGTGAGTGGAAACTTGAACATTGTGAGCATTCTGTGCAACTTCCTGTGTGCATTTACTGTGAACACTAAGGCTGTACCCGCTTCAAGTCACAGTTTTAGACATTGGCCAAGTAAGCTACTGAGGCTATCAGTGGCCTACTAACAAAAACAATGGATCAAATGCATCCCATAACATTGTCATATGGAAATAACTATTGATTTCAGCCTATATGGTGTTCAATGTTGGCCTATTCCATTAGATGTAAAAACCTTACGCAGGGCTTGACATTAACCGTTTTTCTTTTTAATTGTCTGAAAGCTCAAGTCACTTGTCTAAAAATAGAAAATGGTCTGTTAACACCAATTTTATGATGCAAGAAACCACTTTACAAAATAAAATCATCTAAAAACTACCCCTTTAAGACAAAAAAAAAAGCTTTTTGCCCAACTTACTTTTCAAAGATGGCTAGAAATGTACAGGTTTTGTTCCCTTGTTGGAAGCAATCACTCCCCCATGGCTGACCAAAAAATAGCTATAACTTGGCTAATAATTCGCTATCATCATCAACAAATGTGCATAGTCAACATCTCTGCGCGGGCTGGCAATTCTTCTGTGCGGCAGTCCTGAAGGTGCTGCGTGGCCGCATGCACACGAACATTGCTACTGACCATCTCATATTTATAGGTGGACCTCTGGAACATGTTCCTGGTCCTCTGGATGTAGAGTAGGATGTTGGCGAAGACACGGATGGCGTCCTGGTACCTCCTCATCATCAGGTAGGCAAAGCCCACGTAGTAGTAGGTGGTGATCTGGCACTCGGGCACACGAGAGTACATACTCTGTAAGAGAGAGTAAATACAAAGTAGAGGGAAGTGACTGGGTTACAACAGTAGGGAATACATTGGAGAGAGAAATATGGAGTAGAAATATAGATAGAGGGGTATCAACAGTTAAGGCCCACTCCTTAATTCGTAGGTCTGTAAATATCAGAGAGTGGGCATTTGGGGATAGATATGGAGACAGTACAGGTGCATCAAAGCTGGGACCGAGAGACTGAAAAACAGCTTCTATCTCCAGGCCATCAGACTGTTAAATAGTCACTACTAGCCGACCTATGACCAGTACCCTGTCCTGAACTTTAGTAGCCATTACTAGCCGGTTACCACCCGGTACCCAACCCTGCACGCTAGAGACTGCTGCCCTATGTACATAGTCATTGAACACTGGTCACTTTAATAATGTTTACATACTGTTTTACCCACTTCATATTAGGGTTCCCATTAGCCGGCAATTCGATAATAAAAATGAAAAGCCGGTAAATAAAACTGTTGCCGGCCAAAATGACAGGGAGGGAAAAAAAACATGGTAAAATAGTGCTTTTTACTCATTGATGGAAATACCAGTCGATGGAAATACATTTGACAGTCCCACCACTTTACAATGTGAGCTGGAGGCAGTATGCATTTAGAAAACATACTTTATTATTTGAAACCTGAATGTTTTATTTCATATTATGAGGCATGTCTTACCTTGCTTCAAAGTAGCCTATAGACAAAATCGGTCCATGGAAACGTGGAGGCAATTATTTTATATAGACTTCATAGGCGGCACGTGAGTTTCAAGTTTGGGGAAGTTGATAATTTATCCTACCATTTCTACCGTTCTGCGTGCAAGTTATGATTTTCACATGCGCATTTTCATGGAACAGTTTCATTTCAATAATAATGTTTTCATTTCTCAAAATCATTGTCACGTGGTTAATCATAAAAATTTGAATTAGAATGATAAAAATCTAAAAGTAAACTAATTCAAGATGACCAGCCTCTGCCATATTGACACATTGATACACCGTGATCCATTGGCGGCTAAAGAAATGAGCGCGCGGAACTCATAGCCTATAGAACTCATAGCCAAATGCAGCAGCAGGCCTATAACTTCCATTGCTCTTTCACACCAAGGAGTGGTGATTATCGAGGGGGAGATTGTTGAAAATATTTTTTAAATAGCTTACTGTGAGGAACTAGAGTTTTAATATATTATCATTCGCAATGGATGTTAAAAAAACACTTTCCTACATTTCCCTGCAACAGGCAAGGTACTTCTATGCGTGCTCATCAGGACAGAGAAACCAGACACATGCTCATTGCTCACATGGAGTACTCCAAACAAAAGACAAAATGAATTTAACAAATCTCGTAAATGATGGTTATGAAATAAACCAAAACTTGTTTCTCACAACTGTAGCAGGTTGTGAACTCTGCAAACAACATTTCCACTCCAAGAATGAGAACGGTAAATTACTTGTAATTAATACATGCATTAACAGAAATTAATATAACCAAATTACGGGGATTAACAGTACATTTACTACTGGTGACATACAGTGGGGAATAGATTATTATTTATTTATCAAAGGGCAAACAATTCACACAATGAATGTGCAATAATTGGCCGAGACAGCTGTGCCATTCTGGAGAGAATTCGCCTAGCACCATTGCCCTTCTTGTCTCAACATTTAAAATTATACCCAAGACATTATCTTCACACATATTTTAGATGCTTTTCACTGACAGCCACAACTCAATAATTCGGGCTTTCCAAATAGGTGTAGGCCTACGAGCTTGTGATTTGAAACAATCCACAGCAACAACAAAAATAAGATAATGAGCCTCGATTCCTCTGTGGCTAAGTCATGTTTTCTGGCGAAGTATTTTGAATGATTTTATTCATTTCTGTATAGACAGGAGAATTATATAATATTGGCAAATGTATTTCCATTTATTTCCTTATTGGACCCACAGCTATGCCATTTCTGTCCTGTTCTATTCGTTTTCATATCACCACAGTCGCATATGGAACTGCTATCAGGTGTGCTGTTTAGAATAGCGTTTTCCCAGGTGTGCTTTTTAGAATGGTGTTTTCCGACTAATTGTATTTTGGCAAATGTTCGAAAATTAGGTTTTATTGGCTGCTTCATTACATGAGTTGCATGTTCTGTTAAAATGCATTACCATAATCTAAATGAGATTTGTGTCATTCTGAGCACCGTGGGTGGACGCCCTAATGGGTGCATATGGGTCCGGTAAATTAAAATCTTCCCGGTCACGTTATCCGGTGCCACATTTTCCTAATGGAAACCCTGCTTCATATGTATATATCTGTATTCTAGTTAAGGCTCATCCTATATAACTACTGCTGTACACACCTTTTCTATTCATATACTGTCCATAATACACACCATCACATACATATATATTTATTTTCCGGACTCTGACATTGCTCGTTTGAATGTTTCTACATTTCTTAATTCCTTTCCTATTGTTAGGTATTACTGCACTGTTGGAGCTAGGAACGTAAGCATTTCGCTACACCCACGATAACATCTGCATAATATGTGTACGTGACTAATCAAATTTGATTCGATTTGGAGATATCTTCAGCTGTACTGTATGCACATCGACAGTACTACTACACAGTGGCTAGTGTACCTTCTTGTTGAGCTCGATGTTCTCCAGGACTTTGATGGCCTGGTAGTAGTCCCCCAGCAGAGAATGTAGCCTCAGCAGCCCCACCAGGCTGAAGTATCCCAGCATCTTATACAGGGAGTGACGGCCATACTCCCCAGCCACACTCTCCGGATCACCTGCAACACAAACTGTTAGAGCTGTCGCACAGTAACCATGGACTGCCTCAACCATTCAGTATTGATCACTGATAAGAATGTGAGGGTAATCTGTGGTGTAAGATAACGCTCTGTATTACTGATATATCTTTGTAACATTATATAGATAAGCGATGTATTATACTTTTTAACAATATAGTGATACAAAAACGATATCTTTATTCTATGTCAAAATATTTAGCTACAAATTATATATCGTATAATGAATGATATGTCATCATATATCAATACAGATACAATGCATCTACATCTTTCTTTACCTCCACTGGTGTAGACCTCCAGCTGGCGGTTGATGTTGCTCTTGTCCACCAGCGAGTGGAGCACATTTAGAACACTATGGACATTCCAGATCTTGGGGTTGTTCCTCAGGAACTCAATCTCCTCCTCAGACTTCTTGGCTGTCTTGCAGCGATACTGGCTGAACGACTGGAACTGTTTAGGGGAACAAGAGTGAACTTGTTTACTTCTTATTCAAATGCAGTCACAATTCCATGTACCATAGCAGCTTCAAGACAGAGGGGTACCAAATGAATGCCATAGATTATGATGAAAAACTAAAATACACAAGCAACATATCAAACTATGTTAATTTACCTGATAAATGAATTCATCAATAATGTCCCAGAGCCACTGGTTGGGCAGCTCCAAGGGGGCGGGTCCATCTGCATCTGTATACAACAATATATACCTGCTTAGTGAGGTATTGAAAACGTCCAATGTAATACACTATTATGAAAATATATTAAGGCAACAGATATTTAGTACTCAGACTTACTTAGAATGTAGTTGAAGAGGTTGCAGTAATTGTAGTAAGACTCAAATCTCTGGTCGAGAGTTGGTCCTCCCTGATGGTCAAAGAAAACATAAAAGCATTATTTAAGTAAAAAGTCCTCCAAGTAGTGACATTATTATAGTTCTGTGCACTGTAAACCCATTGGATTGATTCCATCCAGGACAGGAGATGTAAGATTTATATTTTAAAGCTGATAGGGGTTAAACAATGGTTCTGTGGCAAGAAGGATAGATACTCACGCTGACTTTAGCATAGATGTGTCTGTAGTACAACTCCTTATACAGGATCAGGAACACAGCGTCTGAATGGGCCAACAGAGAGAGTGAGCAAGCGCAACAAGAAAGAATAATTAATGGCACAACATTCTTTGCTTGTTGGCATTTATTGTAATGAATCTTGGCCTGGAGGCAGCTCTGCAGTGGTCAATAGCTGGCACAGCTACAAAAATCGTAAAATCTGATTTTAACCCTAACCACACTGCTAACCCTAATGCCTAATCCTAAATTAAGACCAAATAGCAAATTTCTACAATATAGACAATTTTGACTTTGCAGCTAGCCCATCTAGCGGAAATCGCTTAGTTCTGCCTCCAAGGCAAGACTAATGACAAACGTCAACCTGCGCATTCTTCCCACTTCATTGTCAAGAGAGAACAGCAACAACAAGAATATTCTACAGAGGCAGCAAACTAGTTTGTGAACCACATGGTCTCCACCCTATAAGCAAATGGCTCTAAAAGAAAGCAGAGAACACCCTAAAGGACACTAGACACCCTGTTTACAGTTTAAACTCCTACCATCAGGTCCACATTTCTCTGTCCACCGTTGCAAAAACAACAAATAAAACCATTCATTCACTTCTGCTACCATAGCATTTTTGAAATAGATACATGTTACTACTGCACTCCACACTACCTAGCATTTTACACTTTAACAACTTTCACTTATTTCACTCCAGCAACTATGTGCAATAAATGTGTGGTCCATGTTATTTTGTGCCTACATCTTGTCTGTTGTTTTTGGATATGATTCTGCTGCAAAACCAATTAATCCCGGAGGGATATTAATGTATTCTACTTGCTATTACTAACTACCACCACTACTATGTCCACAATCATCTGAACAGGCTTCTGCCCAAACTGGAAGGAGAAACAGCAGTAGACTGACGCACTCACCGTTTCCAACGAGGGAAGCGATGGCCTCAGCCTCTGGCCAGGGAGACGTTTTGAAGAAGCGGTCAGTCAGCTTGTTCCAGCTGAGGAGAGACGAGAATGTGTAAAAATAAAACTTTAAACTTAAGTGTTTTATGACATTCAGAGACTTGTCCTGAAGCACTCCTGTTTTGTCTTGGCTGTGTGCTTAGGGTCGTTGTCCTGTTGGAAGGTTAACCTTCGCCCCAGTCTGAGGTCCTAAGCGCTCTGGAGCAGGCTTTCATCAAGGATCTCTGTACTTCGCTCCATTAATCTTTCCCACAATCCTGACTAGTCTCCCAGTCCCTGCCACTGAAAAACATCCCCACAGCATGATGCTGCCACCACCATGCCTCACCGTAGAGATGGTGCAAGGTTTATTCCAGACTTGACGCTTGGCATTAAGGCCAAAGAGTTCAATCTTGGTTTCATCAGACCAGAGAATCTTGTTTGTCATGGTCTGAGAGTCCTTTAGGTGCCTTTTGGCAAACTCCAAGCGGGCTGTCATGTGCCTTTTACTGAGTGGCGGCTTCCGTCTGGCCACTCTACCATAAAGGCCTGATTGGTGGAGTGCTGCAGAGATGGTTGTCCTTCTGGAAGGTTCTCCCATCTCCACAGAGGAACTCTAGAGCTCTGTCAGCGTGACCATCGGGTTCTTGGTCACCTCCCTGACCAAGGCCCATCTCCCAGATTGCCCAGTTTGGCCGGGCGGGCCAGCTCTAGGAAGAGTCTATTTTTCGGAGGAGACATCTTTTTAGTTTTTTAAAAGCTTTTCTGCTACATATACATTTTACATACATGGTACTTTATATACAGCAATCACATAATACATTACCGAACATAAACTCTTTAATCCCACCCCTCAGCCACTCTCAGCCCATCCCACCTATCACCACAGACCTCGTTTTGTTTCCATGTGCCATATTGTACTGTTTTACATACATTTGGAACCTTTCTAATCGCATAGTATCCACAGATTGTGAGCTAAAGATGAAAACCTTTCCTATGAGTATTATTATATTATTTATTGACTGACTATGGCTTTCCAAATCGCCCAACACTGCTATTTGTAAGTTTAATTGTAATTGAATGTTGTGATTGTTTAACCATTCCTGAACCAAGCTACATAGGGGCAATACCATATTAAATGATATAGTGATTGTCTCTTCAAAACAAAATCTACAGAGCTGAGATTGTTGTATGCCCCATATATACACTGCTCAAAAAAATAAAAGGGAACACTTAAACAACACAATGTAACTCCAAGTCATTCACACTTCTGTGAAATCAAACTGTCCACTTAGGAAGCAACACTGATTGACAATAAATTTCACATGCTGTTGTGCAAATGGAATAGACAACAGGTGGAAATTATAGGCAATTAGCAAGACACCCCCAATAAAGGACTGGTTTTGCAAGTGGTGACCACAGACCACTTCCCAGTTCCTATGCTTCCTGGCTGATGTTTTGGTCACTTTTGAATGCTGGCGGTGCTTTCATTCTAGTGGTAGCATGAGACGGAGTCTACAACCCACACAAGTGGCTCAGGTAGTGCAGCTCATCCAGGATGGCATATCAATGCGAGCTGTGGCAAGAAGGTTTGCTGTGTCTGTCAGCGTAGTGTCCAGAGCATGGAGGCGCTACCAGGAGACAGGCCAGTACATCAGGAGACGTGGAGGAGGCCGTAGGAGGGCAACAACCCAGCAGCAGGACTGCTACCTCCGCCTTTGTGCAAGGAGGAGCAGGAGGAGCACTGCCAGAGCCCTGCAAAATGACCTCCAGCAGGCCACAAATGTGCATGTGTCTGCTCAAACGGTCAGAAACAGACTTCATGAGGGTGGTATGAGGGCCAGACGTCCACAGGTGGGGGTTGTGCTTACAGGCCAACACCGTGCAGGACGTTTGGCATTTGCCAGAGAACACCAAGATTGGCAAATTCGCCACTGGCGCCCTGTGCTCTTCACAGATAAAAGCAGGTTCACACTGAGCACATGTGACAGACGTGACAGAGTCTGGAGACGCCGTGGAGAACGTTCTGCTGCCTGCAAAATCCTCCAGCATGACCGGTTTGGCGGTGGGTCAGTCATGGTGTGGGGTGGCATTTCTTTGGGGGGGGCCGCACAGCCCTCCATGTGCTCGCCAGAGGTAGCCTGACTGCCATTAGGTACCGAGATGAGATCCTCAGACCCCTTGTGAGACCATATGCTGGTGCGGTTGGCCCTGGGTTCCTCCTAATGCAAGACAATGCTAGACCTCATGTGGCTGGAGTGTGTCAGCAGTTCCTGCAAGAGGAAGGCATTGATGCTATGGACTGGCCCGCCCGTTCCCCAGACCTGAATCCAATTGAGCACATCTGGGACATCATGTCTCGCTCCATCCACCAACGCCACGTTGCACCACAGACTGTCCAGGAGTTGGCGGATGCTTTAGTCCAGGTCTGGAAGGAGATCCCTCAGGAGACCATCCGCCACCTCATCAGGAGCATGCCCAGGCGTTGTAGGGAGGTCATACAGGCACGTGGAGGCCAAACACACTATTGAGCCTCATTTTAACTTGTTTTAAGGACATTACATCAAAGTTGGATCAGCCTGTAGTGTGGTTTTCCAACCACTCCATACATTTCTTGTTAACAAACTATACATTTTGGCAAGTCGGTTAGGACATCTACTTTGTGCATGACACAAGTAATATTTCCAACAATTGTTTACAGACAGATGATTTCACTTATAATTCACTGTATCACAATTCCAGTGGGTCAGAAGTTTACATACACTAAGTTGACTGTGATGGCCACTCCAATACCTTGACTTTGTTGTCCTTAAGCCATTTTGCCACAACTTTGGAAGTATGCTTGGGGTCATTGTCCATTTGGAAGACCCATTTGCGACCAAGCTTTAACTTCCTGACTGATGTGTTGAGATGTTGCTTCAATATATCCACATACTTTTCCTTCCTCATGATGCCATCTATTTTGTGAAGTGCACCAGTCCCTCCTGCAGCAAAGCACCCACACAGCATGATGCTCCCACCCCCGTGCTTCACGGTTGGGATGGTGTTCTTCAGCTTGCAAGCACCCCCTTTTTCCTCCAAACATAACAATAGTCATTATGGCCAATTATGTTTCATCAGACCAGAGGACATTTCTCCAAAAAGTACGATCTTTGTCGCCATGTGCAGTTGCAAACCGTAGTCTGGCTTTTTTATGGCGGTTTTGGAGCAGTGGCTTCTTCCTTGCTGAGCGACCATTCAGGTTATCTCGATATAGGACTTGTTTTACTGTGGATATAGATACTTTTGTACCTGTTTCCTCCAGCATCTTCACAAGTCCTTTGCTGTTGTTCTGGGATTGATTTGCACTTTTCGCACCAAAGTACATTCATCTCTAGGTGACAGAACGCATCTCCTTCCTGAGCAGTATGACAGCTGCGTGGTCCCATGGGGTTTATACTTGCGTACTATTGTTTGTACAGATGAACGTGGTACCTTCAGGCGTTTGGAAATTGCTCCCAAGGATGAACCACACTTGTGGAGGTCTACAATTTTTTTCTGCGGTCTTGGCTGATTTATTTGGATTTTCCCATGATGTTAAGCAAAGATGCACTCAGTTTGAAGGTAGGCCTTGAAACACATCCACAGGTACACCTCCAATTGACTCAAATGATGTTAATTAGCCTATCAGAAGCTTCTAAAGCCATGACATCATTTTCTGGAATTTTCCAAGCTGTTTAAAGGCACAGTCAACTTAGTGTATGTAAACTTCTGACCCACTGGAATTGTGATACAGTGAATTATAAGTGAAATAATCTGTCTGTAAACAATTGTTGGAAAAATTACTTGTGTCATGCACAAAGTAGATGTCCTAACAGACTTGCCAAAACTACAGTTTGTTAAAAATAAATTTGTGCAGTGGTTGAAAAACTAATTTTAATGACTCCAACCTAAGTATGTAAACTTCCGACTTCAACTGTGTGTGTGTGTGTATATATCTATCTATATACACACACACACGTCAAAAGTTTGGACACACCTACTCATTCAAGGGTTTTCCTTTATTTTTACTATTTTATACATTGTACAATGGTAGTTTAGACATCAAAACTATGAAATAACACATACGGAATCATGTAGTAACCAAAAAAGTGTTAAACAAATCAAAATATATTTTATATTTGAGTTTCTTCAAAGTAGCCACCTTTGCCTTGATGACAGCTTCGCACTCTCTTGGCATTCTCTCAACCAGCTTCACCGGTATTGCTTTTCCAACAGTCTTGAAAGAGTTCCCACATATGCAGCACTCCATCACTCTCCTTGGTAAAATAGCCCTTACACAGCCTGGAGGTGTGTTGGGTCATTGTCCTGTTGAAAACAAATGATAGTCCCACTAAGCCCAAACCAGATGGGATGGCGTATCGTTGCAGAATGCTGTGGTAGCCATGCTGGTTAAGTGTGCCTTGAATTGTAAATCAATCACAGATAGTGTCACCAGCAAAGCACCCCCACACCATAACACCTCCTCCTCCATGCTTTATTTCAACCGGTCTAATGTCCATTGCTCGTGTTTCTTGGCCCAAGCAAGTCTCTTCTTCTTATTGGTGTCCTTTAGTAGTGGTTTCTTTGTAGCAATTCGACCATGAAGGCCTGATTCACAGTCTCCTCTGAACAGTTGATGTTGAGATGTGTCTGTTACTTGAACTCTGTGAAGCATTTATTTAGGCTGCAATTTCTGAGGCTGGTAACTCTAATGAACTTATCCTCTGCATCAGAGGTAACTCGGTCTTCCATTCCTGTGGCGGAATCATAAGCCAGTTTCATCATAGCGCTTGATGGTTTTTGCGACTGCACTTGAAGAAACTTCCAAATGTCTTGAAATTTTCCGGATTGACTGACCTTCATGTCTTAAAGTAATGATGGACTGTCATTACTCTTTGCATATTTGAGCTGTTCTTGCCATAATATGGACTTGGTCTTTTACCAAATAGGACTATCTTCTGTATACCAACCCTACCTTGTCCACAAATTAACTTTTAACAAGGCACACCTGTTAATTGAAATGTATTCCAGGTGACTACCTCATGAAGCTGGTTGAGAGAATGCCAAGAGTGTGCACAGCTGTCATCAAGGCAAAGGGTGGCTATTTGAATAATTTATTCTCATTTGTTTAACACTTTTTTGGTTACTACATGATTCCATATGTGTTATTTCATAGTTTTGATGTCTTCACTATTATTCTACAATGTAGAAAATAGTAAAAAATAAAAGAAAAACCCTTGAACGAGTAGATGTTCTAAAACTTTTGACTGGTAGTGTACCTCTACTGGTATACCATCAAGCCCTGGTGTTTTTCCAAACTGAAAATATTTAATTGCCTCAAAAAGTTCCTCCACTGTAAGTTGGCCTTCACACAGGTTTTTCTGTACATTTGTTAATTATACATTATTAAGAAATAAATATTTACAGTTCTCTCTTCTCTTTTGACCTAAACAGCTTTTGTTTTAATTATGAGTATTGTATTGCCTCTAAAAGTACATTTAAAAGTGTCCCATACAATAAGGGAATCTGCTGTACCCATGTTGTGCAGAAAAAAGTGAATTCTGAATTATTTTGTCTTAGTTAAGAACAAATTGTCATCCAGTAGGCTTTGACAAGATTTCGAATATCCCGTCTACGTGGAAATTCTGTAAGAGTTATATGGAGGCCAATTAGATGGCGGACCGATCTTATTTGATCTCCTTATAATACTTTAACTTTTGATGCCAGCAAGAATGAGACCAGGAAGTAATCGCGACGGCTAGCTTGATTAAGCATCCTCCATGTATATCTCACTAGGTCAGGATTTTTCATGGATACATTACTAGTTGTAATGTATCCATGATATTTGTGATCTCCTTAAGTGCATGAGAGTGATAGTTTTGTAGTGGGATTTCCTTTATGATCCATTGTGGCACTTAAAACCGTATTATAATCTCCCACCATAATAACAGATTCAGTCGCTGCTAGTGAGCGCAATAGATTATTATATCTTTTTTTTTTTTTTTTTTTTTTTACAAGTGTGGATCATTATTATTTGGCCCATATAGATTAATTAGCCAGTTCTGTTTTTGATCCAATAGCATATTTAAAAGGATCTATCTTCCTTGAGGATCTGTTTCAATAATTGGATCAACATTTTTGATAATTAACATAATCACCCCTTTTGAGTTTCTTTGCCTATGAGAAAAATATATTTCTCCCTCCCAGTCCTTTCCCATCCAACCTCATCTATATTTGTAGAGTGAGTTATCTGTAAACAATAGATATCTCTTTTAGCCAAGTAAAATTTTATATTTTTTATGATCTGCTAAGCCTTTACAATTGTAACTGGCTATACTTATTTCCCCGCTTACAATAATGATACCCAAGTTTCAATTATACTTACCACAACCAATGTTTGTAAACTTAACATTAAAAAGCACCATGATGATTAAGTGTCCATATAGCTGTACCATAATATTTGCAATGTTAAGCATACTGTAGCTGCAACTGTGTAAATCTCCAATTGTCCTAATATTCCACCCACTAAAACCTCTCCCCATATATACAGTGCATTCGGAAAGTATTCAGACCTGTTGATATTTTCCACATTGTGTTACGTTACAGCCTTATTCTAAAATGAATTACATTTATTTTTTTCCCTCAATCTACACACAATAACCCATAATGACATAGCAATTTTTGCAAACGTATTGAAAATAAAAAACAGAAATACCTTATTTACATAAGTATTCAGACACTTTGCTATGAGACTCGAAAATTGAGCATCCTGTTTCCATTGACCATCCTTGAGATGTTTCTACAACTTAATTGGAGTCCACCTGTGGTAAATTCAATTGATTGGACATGATTTGGAAAGGCACACACCTGTCTATAAGGTCACACAGTTGACAGTGCATGTCAGAGCAAAAACCAAGCCATGAGGTTGAAGGAATTGTCTGTAGAGCTCCGAGACAGGGTTGTGTCAAGGCATATATCTAGGGACGGGTACCAACACATTTCTGCAGCATTGAAGGTCCCCAAGAACACAGTGGCCTCCATCATTCTTAAATGGAAGAAGTTTGGAACCACCAAGACTCTTCCTAGAGCTGGCTGCCCAGCCAAACTGAGCAATCGGGGGAGAAGGGCATTGGTCAGGGAGGTGACCAAGAACCTGATGGTGACTGACAGAGCTCCAGAGTTCCTCTGTGGAGATGGGAGAACTTTCCAGAAGGACAACCATCTCTGCAGCACCACCAATCAGGCCTTTATGGTAGAGTGGCCAGGTGGAAGCCACTCCTCAGTAAAGGGCACATTACAACTCGCTTGAAGTTTGCCAAAAGGCACCTAAAGGACTCAGACCATGAGAAACAAGATTCTCTGGTCTGATGAAACCAAGATTGAACTCTTTGGCCTGAATGCCAAGCGTCACGTCTGGAGGAAACCTGGCACCATCCCTACGGTGAAGCATGGTGGTGGCAGCATCATGCTGTGGGGATGTTTTTCAGCGGCAGGGACTGAGAGACTAGTCAGGATCGAGGGAAAGATGAACGGAGCAAAGTACAGCGAGATCCTTGATCAAAACCTGCTCAGGACCTCAGACTGGGGCGAAGGTTCACCTTCCAACAGGACAATGATCCTAAACACACAGCCAAGACAACGCAGGAGTGGCTTCGGGACAAGTCTTTGAATGTCCTTGAGTGGCCCAGCCAGAGCCCGGACTTGAACCCAATCGAACATCTCTGGAGAGACCTGAAAATAGCTGTGCAGCGACGCTCCCCATCCAACCTGACAGAGCTTGACAGGATCTGAAGAGAAGAATGGGAGAAACTCCCCAAATACAGGTGTGCCAAGCTTGTAGTGTCACACCCAAGAAGACTTGAGGCTGTAATCGCTGCCAAAGGTGCTTCAACAAAGTACTGAGTAAAGGGTCTGAATACTTATGTGAATGTGATATCAGTTCATTTGGAATGAATTAAAAAAATTCTACAAACCTGTTTTTGCTTTGTCATTATGGGGTATTGTGTGTAGGTAGATTGATGAGGGGGGGAACAATTTCATCAATTTTAGAATAAGGCAGTAACGTAACAAAATGTGGAAAAAGTAAATGTGTCTGAATACTTTCCGAATGCACTGTAGGTCTGTTGTCACTAAGACCATCAGACCATCTCCCTGACTCATGACGCACCTTTGCGTTCTAAGGTAAACCCTTGGCCGCCAGATGGAAATATGAGCAATCCCATAACAACATCATTCAATACTGCCACCCTTCACTCACACAGTCAAAGCCCATAGGTCTATTGTATATCTATGAGGGTGCTTTTTAGGAGAACTAACCAAATAACATGGAAAACAGTCAGAAAATATAACAATAATAGATCATATTAATAGAAATAATAACAGCACAATATTATAGATTCATGCTCATATTTAGAAAGTCCAAGCAAAGGCTATAAGCATGTCAGCCCAGCCTGCTCAGTTCATTGGATCCAATTGTTAGAAAAAATTCAAACGCATTAAGGGAATAATACCTATAAATATCACAAGACCAGTTCTCTATGTCCATTACATGCAAGACATATTTCATGTAGTCCTCATTATATCCTGTTTTATTCCAACAAAAAGGAAGGAAGAAAAAAGAGATTCTAACAGCCGCTAATGACTGGCAGTAAACATTTGTCTTAGGCATCACACTACCCATAAAGGAATATATACATTTAACTTACAATCGACCATGCCACAGCCATGGCACGATAGCAAAGACATGTAGTACTGACAATCCAAAGCAAGTAAACCTGTAAAACCAACCCTCTCTCCACCCACACACATTTTGTTCTTATTCCAGGTTTGTTGCTCTATCCCTCGACTGTTTTACAACTAGGCCTATATCATTAGGATCAAGAATATAAAAGGTTGCGTAAATAGCTAATATAGAAATATATAATATACTTCTCGCTTAGAGAAGTGCTTCCATAAGCCAGTTATTGTGTTGGCTCTACTGTTACCTTTAAATCAGTTTAACCTAGTGTTAACCAGCCCGCCACACACTAGAGACAACAACCCTGTTGACAATACCCAACCCATTTGCCGGTGTGTATCAGAACAATGTCCTTTAAAATGTTTAATATTGAGATTATAATTTTTTTTATGTAAAAAGATAATGACAATTATTTTAGGATCATATAAGCCTACTCCAATAGAGAACCTAGGCAGGTTTTTTATTCTATAATCCTTTATCTTAGCCCTACAGCTCTAGGAAGAGTCTTGATGGTTCCAAACTTCTTCCATTTAAGAATGGTGGAGGCCACGGTGTTCTTGGGGACATTCAATGCTGAGCCTCAACACAATCCTGTCTCGGAGCTCTACAGACAATTCCCTTCGACCTCATGGCTTGGTTTTTGCTCTGACATGCACTGTCAACTGTGGGATCTTATATAGACAGGTGTGTGCCTTTCCAAATCATGTCCAATCAATTGAATTTACCACAGGTGTACTGCAATCAAGTTGTAGAAACATCGCAAGGATAATAAATGGAAACATGATGCAACTGAGCTCAATTTCAAGTCTCATAGCAAAGGGTCTGAATTCTTATGTTAAAAAGATATGTTTTAGTATTGTTTATACATTTGCAAACATTTCTAAAAACCTGTTTTTGCTTTGTCATTATGGGGTATTGTGTGGAGATTGATGAGGGGAAGAAATGTGGATAAAGTCAAGGGGTCTGAATACTTTCCGAATGCACTGTATATCACCAGTAGTACATTTACTGTTAATTCCTATAATATCTAATCTACAATGTTTGTTTGGTTACGGTCATTTTTGTTAATGCATTCAACATATTATTCCAGTCTTTTACAGTTCTCATTGTCGGAGTGGACACGTTGTTTGCAGAGTGCAAAGCCTATGCTACACTTGTGAGAAACAAGTTTTTGTTTATTTCATTCCATTTACGAGTTGTCAATTTAGTCATTGTCTTTTGTTTTGAGCTCTCCTGTCAATGTTGAGTAAGGACCTGATTACACATAGAAGTAGGCCTATAGGCTAACTGGCCTGCGCGCCAATATAGGCATATAAACGTGCCCATTTGGGGAACTGATAGCATTTCTGATTGGCTTAACGCACCACCACTAATGAGCTGTGGAGCTTCTCAAAGTAATGTTTTGTTAACCTCAAACAGCAAGCAAACAAAGTCTGTTTTACATCCATTGAGAATGACAATAGTTCCTCAATGTATTTGAAAAATCTCCCTTTCGATAACCACCCAGCATGAAAGGGAAAAATGTAATGCGCCTGATTACTTCTTAACCCTTGCGCAAATAGACTACAGCTGTGTCTGTCCCGAGCTCATTGGTGTGGGAAACTGAAGGGCTGGAATATTTTATACAATGTTGCTAGCGCAAGCTTCGACAGACTCAAGTTAATAGTTAATACGTTTCAAGTTTGTTGCAGACAGACCATGCATAGCCAATATGATTTGTAAGATATTTATTTTTTATCATTATATTTTCTACCTGCAGGCTGCAATGTTTTTATTTGTAGGCTTTATAGGCTATTTTTACATAGTTGGCAATGGCTATAGAAGTTACTTTTTTAGGTTTGTATCATTTTCATTTAGATAGAATTTTGATTAACCACATGAAAATGACTTTGAGATACGAAGCCGTAATTATAAATTAAATGAAACTGTTCCACAAAAATGTGCATATGAAAACCATAACTGCCACACAGATCGGTAGAAATGGTAAGATACATTGGCATTCCACATGAGAAAGGTTGCCAACTCCTCGTGTAGCCTATTACCAGCAATCTGAGAAAGCCAGTAGGAACGGGAGGAGAATGGTCGGAACAGGTTAAGGTTTCTTTCTTCTGGTTATCTTGATCACTGGCTCCCTCGAGTCATTTGTGTCTTATTTTATCAAACAGTGCCCTTAAAGCATCAGAATGCATATATAGATGATTTTATTAAAACACATCGGGTGTGTCTATATATGGAAAAACACACATTTTAAAATGTTGACCAATCGAATATTTTTCTTGTCGGGGACAGCCCTAGTGTTTTAATGTTAAGATAACTAGAGAAAAGACTGTGTACCTGTTCTCATAGACATCTTGGATTTCGTAGATCTTCTGCTCAATGCTCTCGCTCGACACACGGTTGGCCTGCAGCTCGTACACCTTCTGGTCGATGAGGTCCGAGATAGTCTTGTGGAAGTACTGCAGGAAGTTCTTGATCACCTCAGGGATGACGTGGTAGGTCTGCTGCTCGTACTGGCGCTCGTAGGCCAGGTCAGCTTTAGGGTCACCTGCAAGAAGATTGATGAAGGATGAGGTTCTGTCGTTCTTAAGGAATAGTGTTGCACTGAAATGGTAATGGTGGGATAATGTGCATTGTTTCTACTATAGAATCATTGATGTGATTCAATTTTTTTGGTGTCTATTTGTGATACAATTAACTGTGATGGGTGAGGGAGGCGTATGTAGTGATTACACACCAAACAAACACATGCCTGACATTTGAGTGTCAAGTTTATCCACTCAAATATCTAGATGAAACTACACACTCACCAGTATGGAGATAATCATCATTTGTGTAGGAATAAGGATCATACTGTGGAGAGATGGAAAAGTACGTAAATTATTATCAACATGACATATGTTGAGACCTTCCTCTTTAACTAACAAGCAGTCATCAACAGTCCAAATACTAATTGGTGAAACCAGTGTCATTAAAATGTCACATTTAGCTAGCTAACTAAATAACTAATGATTGACAAACGTTTATGGTATGTTTCTTCTTAAAGCTATTCAATGTGATAATAGCAAATATTTTCTCTGATATAATAAAAATTCACTCAGAAGCCAACCAGACAGACAAGTATTACTCCACCATGAAGTTAACGCGTTATCTACGTTAAGTAAACTGGCAACGTGGTTTTCGCCAACTGGATGACTGGCTAGTTAATTCATAACAAACACTAGTAAGCACATGAAAAGCAGCAATTATTTGTGACTATCTGAAAAAATATAATACAATCAACCGCCTAACTAGCTAACTTAGGTAGTAGCTATGTCGCTAACGTTCGCTAGTTAGTTAATGTGGAGTCGTCCACTTGGTGATGAGCCGGTGAGGCTAAATAACGTTAGGTTCCGGTCTGTAGGACCGCGCTATAAACTAAAATAAACTGTAGAAAATAAAATAGGTACGTACTTCTTCGGTTTCTTCGGTTTGGTACGACATGTTAGGATATGTCCAATCTCGTACAAATGTGTGTTTAGCAAAACCACGCAGCTGCCGCTGGGAGAAGTGGAAAGGAACCGGAAATGGATTTGGAGCTACAACAAATAGTAGACAGCAGCATGCTGGGATTGTGGCGGAATGAAATGAGGATCAGATGAGCTGCTGGCGTATAATCGATTGACCTTATCAAAGCATAGGGAATGGCACTATTCCTTTGGGTCTTTTGTGAGTGTAATGTTTACTGTTAATTTCACTTTTGTTTATTATCTATTTCACTTGCTTTGGCAATGTAAACATATGCTTCCCATGCCAATAAAGCCCCTTAAATTCAAATGGAATGTTAGAGGCCAAAATTCAGTTTTAGCACAGGCAGCGCCATTGAGGGCTTCCACCATAGATTGTATGTATATATAAAGGCTTCCACCGTGCTTCCGCCATGAAGTAGTCAACTGGGTAGGGATTCCTATGGGTTGTAGCCATTAATGGCGTTGCCCATGCTGTCACAGACATTAAGATGAGTCCTCTCTCTATCAAAGTAGAAAGATGATTATAATAACTGTCCACACTAACAACTGAATAAGTTAATAATATTAAATAGTAACTGATATAATTATTTTCAAATGCAATAGTCCAGTGTTTTTATATGCATACTGCATGCACTAAATTTTTATAGGCATTGACATTATAACTTTTTATTGTTAGATATTAGTTAAAAAATATATTTTGAAATAATGTTGCAATGGAGCTCGCCAGGTTGTATTCCTAAAAAACGGAAATAAGTTATCTCTGGTTCGTTCAGCCATTCCTAGGGCGAAAATGAATGTGGAAAAAATAGGGTTTGGGGATAAACGCAGAAAAGAAGGTCTGAGGTAAACACAGGCTTAGGAGATCTTATACATTTTGTTCTATGAGATAATATTAGTCATGTAACACGACCTTTATGAATTATGAAGCCTTTGTGTGCTTTATATGCTTTTTTTGATTACATACACTTTTCAAAATTCACAAAAAGTGACAGCTGATGAGGATGATCTTATAGAACAAAATGGATGAGATCTCCTAAGGGTGTGTTTACCACAGACCTTATTTTTGGCATTTATCCAAAAACTCCATTCATTTCCCCATAAGCTTTGTCCAACAAAACATGGCGGAGTTAGTGCCTACAAAAATACTATTACAGTGGAGGCTGCTGAGGGGAGGACGGTTCATAATAATGGCTGGAATGGAGCAAATGGAATGGCATCAAACACATGGAAACATGTGTTTGATGTATCTGATACCATTCCACTTATTCTGCTCCAGCCATCTTGGCCCATTATGGGCACAACCTACCAACCCGGGCCCAACAGTTCCACTCCTGGGCCTATGATGGCCACGCCCCAGTAAGACCTCAAATAGCCGAGCTGGTTAGACTAACTAGAAGTTTGCTTACCACGGGGGATGGGCCATCAGTAATAGATCGACTGGTAATGGACAAATGTACAGTGGGGAGAACCACGGGGGATGGGCCATCAGTAATAGATCGACTGGTAATGGACAAATGTACAGTGGGGAGAACAAGTATTTGATACACTGCCGATTTTGCAGGTTTTCCTACTTACAAAGCATGTAGAAGTCTGTAATTGTTATCATAGGTACACTTCAACTGTGAGAGACGGAATCTAAAACAAAAATCCAGAAAATCACATTGTATGATTTTTAAGTAATTAATTTGCATTTTATTGCATGACATAAGTATTTGATCACCTACCAACCAGTAAGAATTCCGGCTCTCACAGACCTGTTAGTTTTTCTTTAAGAAGCCCTCCTGTTCTCCACTCATTACCTGTATTAACTGCACCTGTTTGAACTCGTTACCTGTATAAAAGACACCTGTCTACACACTCAATCAAACAGACTCCAACCTCTCCACAATGGCCAAGACCAGAGAGCTGTGTAAGGACATCAGGGATAAAATTGTAGACCTGCACAAGGCTGGGATGGGCTCCAGGACAATAGGCAAGCAGCTTGGTGAGAAGGCAACAACTGTTGGCGCAATTATTAGAAAATGGAAGAAGTTCAAGATGACGGTCCATCACCCTCGGTCTGGGGCTCCATGCAAGATCTCACCTCGTGGGGCATCAATGATCATGAGGAAGGTGAGGGATCAGCCCAGAACTACACGGCAGGACCTGGTCAATGACCTGAAGAGAGCTGGGACCACAGTCTCAAAGAAAACCATTAGTAACACACTACGCCGTCATGGATTAAAATCCTGCAACGCACGCAAGGTCCCCCTGCTCAAGCCAGCGCATGTCCAGGCCCGTCTGAAGTTTGCCAATGACCATCTGGATGATCCAGAGGAGGAATGGGAGAAGGTCATGTGGTCTGATGAGACAAAAATAGAGCTTTTTGGTCTAAACTCCACTCGCCGTGTTTGGAGGAAGAAAAAGGATGAGTACAACCCCAAGAACACCATCCCAACCGTGAAGCATGGAGGTGGAAACATCATTCTTTGGGGATGCTTTTCTGCAAAGGGGACAGGACGACTGCACCGTATTGAGGGGAGGATGGATGGGGCCATGTATCGCGAGATCTTGGCCAACAACCTCCTTCCCTCAGTAAGAGCATTGAAGATGGGTCGTGGCTGGGTCTTCCAGCATGACAACGACCCGAAACACACAGCCAGGGCAACTAAGGAGTGGCTCCGTAAGAAGCATCTCAAGGTCCTGGAGTGGCCTAGCCAGTCTCCAGACCTGAACCCAATAGAAAATCTTTGGAGGGAGCTGAAAGTCTGTATTGCCCAGCGACAGCCCCGAAACCTGAAGGATCTGGAGAAGGTCTGTATGGAGGAGTGGGCCAAAATCCCTGCTGCAGTGTGTGCAAATAGGTCAAGACCTACAGGAAACGTATGATCTCTGTAATTGCAAACAAAGGTTTCTGTACCAAATATTAAGTTCTGCTTTTCTGATGCATCAAATACTTACGTCATGCAATAAAATGCAAATTAATTACTTAAAAATCATACAATGTGATTTTCTGGAATTGTGTTTTAGATTCCGTCTCTCACAGTTGAAGTGTACCTATGATAAAAATGACAGACCTCTACATGCTTTGTAAGTAGGAAAACCTGCAAAATCGGCAGTGTATCAAATACTTGTTCTCCCCACCGACGCAAAGCGTCATGCTGCCCAGAGCAACCCCCGTCAGTTGACGCCCTGGTCGCTTTATTAGAAAATCAGCAGGTTACGGTAGGCCAGAGCCCAGTAGGCCCGATAGAGCTGAAGTCAAGGCCGAACCAACGCGTGGTAGAAAGGGAGACCCCTATTTGAACCCTTCTTGAAGACGGCCTCCTATTACTGAACCCAGATCACCCCCAAGGCGGCGGCTGCTAATTAGCGGGGACCAGAGAAGGTGTTACACCTGTGGCCAGGAGGGACACCTGGCCTGGAGCTGCACGGGAAACGACGAGTACATGCCAACGGCCAGTCCCGCAGAGAAGACTACCAGAAGGTGCGACTACCTCACAACCTTCTGGGCCCACGAAGCAACTGCAGCCCCCCATATCCCCATCAAAATAGGCAGTCAGGATGCAGCCACCTTGTTGGACACAGGTAATAATGTCACTCTCGTCAAGCCTCAGTTTGCCGCCGACCCCTTAGGGCCACCCATGATAGTGGCTTGTATACATGGAGATACAAAAAGTTACCCCACCTGCTGTGTGGAAGTGCAAACCCCTCAAGGTAGCTTTGTGTAGGGTAGCAATAACTGCGTTTTGCCACTAGGCTCTACTCTTGAGTGCCAAGAACGACAACATGAACTGCTTCCGTGTGTTGTGTTCTTGTTAAGTTGGGGGTCTGGTTCTGCATGGAATTACAGCAACTACTTTTTAATGAGTCCCTACATATACCTACATGTCACAACAACAACCCTAACAAAATCATTGACCGTTTTTTTGCAGTAAGTGCTTTTTGTTGGGGTAGCTGTTAATGGCCACTCGACTACAAGCATTTTGTGTAGCAACCCTAACAAAAGCATTGACCGGTTTGTGCAGTAAGTACTTTTTGTTGGGTTAGCTGTTAAT